TAATTAAATAACTAATATTATTCATTTACGAGACAAGTGTATTTAATGAAAAATGATCATTAAATATCCTCAAGGCTGTAAGGTTGGTTTTCATCGATTCTTTGGTGACGCCTTTTTCCAATAATACCTGGCGGGCGAGGTGAGCACAACCAAAATTTTTGAAAATTAGATATTTGATGAACTACAACCAGAGCTCTAAAGACGTAATTTAAGAAGAACAATGAGCGTGGGCTTTTGGGGAGAGGAAAAGCCAGACCTTGAGGGGGACGATCAGTTTTGAGGACAATGACGCCCCTGGCCACTCGGCAGTCAAATATGAGTGAGTGAGATAAATACTTTCTTTTGTAACAGGTCTTTGGTTGAAAGAATATAATGATCAATAATTGTTATCATGTTAATATCGGTTCGATTGAATATAGGAGCTGGTAGGGAGTAAAATAGAGATAAATCAATGTTTTGTTGGCCAAGTGGAAGCTGGTGAACAAGTCAACAGCGATTTGTATTTTTCATTTGTTTGGTAGTTATGTGATTGCCGCGGCACTTTGGCAAAGGCCAAAACCCTTCTCCATATGTACTCTGGCAAGGTCTATACTGACATTGATGTACTCTGGCAAGATAGACCTTAGACTAGTTCCTTATATGACAGCAGATAGCCAGATTGGTCCACAAACTGTCTTGCCAGAAAAGATGAGGCTTTTATCAGAGCGCCAAAGGAGCGGGGACTGGCTATCGCTTGATGAAGCATATCTTTATGTTATATATCAGATTTATCATAAGTTGATGTTATATTCTATTTAGAGGAAAACATGTATGATTGAATGCATAAATTTTAAGGGGAAAACGATCTCTCTCTCTCTCTCTCTCTCTCTCGTCTCTCTCTCTCCTCTCTCTTTTTCTCTCCTCTCTCTCTCTCTTCTCTTCTCTCTCTCTCTCTTATCTTCTCTCTCTTCCCTTTGCCCTTTCCCCTCTCACCTTCCCCCTCCCCTCTTACTACAGTAGCGCCTCCACACATATCCATATCTGCAACTCACCATCGTATCTTTTCTTTTATCTCTTGCTCTTACCTTCACTTTTCCTTTCCTCTCTCTTCACCCTCACACCCTATCTTCACTCTCTCACATCCCCAATAAACCTCCCGAATTTCTCCTCGCCTCCCCTACCTCCTTACATATCCCTCTCCCCTTTTCTTACTCTTTCCCTTCCCTCTCTTCTCTATCTCTTGGCTCTTCCTCTCTTCTCTTCTACTCTCTCTCTCTCCTCTCATATACATCTCTCTCCCTCCTTCTTCCTCTCTCTCTCTCTCTATCTCTCTCTCTCTCTCTCTCTCTCTCTCTCTCTCTCTCTCTCTCTCTCTCTCTTCTCTCTCTCTCTCTGCGTCTCTCTCTCTCTCTCTCTCCCCTCTCTCTCTCCCTCTCCTCTCCTCTCCTCCCTCTCCCTCTTCTCCCTCCCCTCTCCCTCTCCCGCTCTCCCTCTTCCTCTTCCTCTTCCTCTCCCTCCACTACCTCTCCCCCTCCCTCCCTTCTTCCCACCTCCTCCTCCCTCTTTCCTTCCTTCTCACTATCCATCCGCTCCATTCCCCCTTTCCTCCTTCCCCCTTTTTTTCCTTTCTTCCCTTCCCTCTCCCTCTGTGTCGCTTTTGTTTTCCTATTTTATGTCGATCTGTCTGTCTGTATTTGTTTACTTGCCTCTGTATGTCCGGCTATGTCTCTGTCAACTGTAGCCCTTTATCTATCTCCTTTTCTCTCCCTCTCTTCTCTCTCCTATACCTCCCTCTCTATTATCTCGCCCCTCTCGTACTCTCCCTCTTCTCTCCTTTTCCCCTTTCCTCAGTCCCTTCCCTCCTTCTTTCTTTCCTCTCTTTCTCTCCCCTCCTCTCTGCCTCCTTCCGTCACTCACTCCGACCTGACTCTTCTTCAGCACCCTTCCTCTCTTCCTTCCTCCATCCGCCCTCTCTCATCTCCCTCTCGCCCTCTCTTTCCCCTCATATTTTAAATAACAACTAGTCAGGTACCCTCAACCATATCCCCATATTTCTCCATGGTTCGCAAAAGTAGCCAGTTATCTGCTGCAAATCGCCGTCTGTGGCTAGTTTTTCCATATTTTTTATGGTCCCTAAAATAATTTATTTTTCACCTTCCCGCCCGGATGCGAACGTTAATTTTATGCTCTATGCAGGGCTAGCCGCTTTTCTGGCGTTTTCTGAACATTAGATGGTAAAGAAAACTGATATAGATAATAAATTCGCCACCCTTGCACCCTGCTATACTCCACAACTTTGAGAGCCCTGTTTTCCATGGTGCCTGTAGTAGCAATAAAGGAATTCTTATATTGGTTGCAGAGGTAATTGATAAGCAGACGTGAAAGGCTGATAAAGGAAGACCTGTCCTTCGTACCTGAAGTCCGGAGAATCAGTTAAGAGCCATGGCAGAGAATACGTCACCAGAACAGCAGTGCAATGTGGCCAGTTCACCTTATATTTTGCTGGTGGAGGTAAGATCAT